TATATGAATTTAACAGCGAAGCTCTGATTCGGGGATTAGAACTCTTGATATCTGGCAACCGCACTCATGAAAGCTCGCATAGTAGAGGCGTGTAGAGCAGTCTGCAATAACATTTTGTCTCCTTTTTTGACGAAAATAAAAAGAGGTTTTTGGTAAAATGTTAATTTTTTTGAATACATTTTAGTCTCGTCTTATTTCATCAACGAAATTGCATGTTGATATTGTCTGCCTGTGGCTCAGCAGTAGAGCATTGCGTTAGCAGTGCTTAAGGTCGTGACTCGTGGGTTCAATTCCCAGGGAACACACATACTGGTAAAAAATGTATAATCTGAATGCACTGTAAGTTGCTTTGGATAAAAGTGTCTGCTAAATGCATAAATTATTAATTAATTATTATTATGTAGTCTTAGTTATCGTTTATTGACCTTATTGTCATCTCGTCTTCATCTCGTCTTAGTCATGGGAAAAAAGCTCGTCAACGAAATTAACACTACTGCAAATCCCTCGACGGCGGGTCCAAACAGCCCCGTAGGGTAGACCGGAGAGTCGAGGAAGGGGACCTTGTCAGCCTCCTTAATCTCAGTGAGGTTTAGCCATAAGTGGCGTTCCAACACCGCTAAGCTGGCCATTGACCTCCCGATGGCCTGTGCTGTAGCCTTCGTAGCTTGCAAAGCCAGGTCTGTTGCACTGCGCAGCTCCTTGAAGGCTGCGGGGTCGGGTGCGGACTCGTCCATGACTCGGAGGAGTTTGGCCTGAAAGACCACGGGCCTCATTTATAAAACGTGCGTACGCACAGATTTGATCGTAGAGTGTGTACGCAAAAATCCATGGCAACGTTCATATTTATAAAAACGGTCTTTGACGTGGAAAAGAGCTTAGCGCCACGTCAGGTCTGAGCAGACGTACGCACTTTTGTTTGCCCGAGTGCTGCAGGTTTTTGGAAATATAAGCCATTCTTACCGCTTGTAAAAGATTTGGACATTGTCAGGTGCTCTTTTATAAGTCATGGACATTAATTAGACATTGTTTAACAGGGAGGAGATCTGAAACTGTTCAGCTGCGCACAATTTCAAGATCATTGCAATTTATAGATTTCACATCTAAAAGAGAGGCGTACGCACGTTTTCTGTGCGTACGTTCATTCTATGAATCACACGTACGCACTTTGAGAAATGATCGTAAAATCAAATTTAGGATTCTTTCTACGCAGTATTTTATAAATGAGGCCCCAGGAGCACAGCCATGGAGTGCAGAGCTGAGGCCGCCTGCAGAGCTGAGGAGTATGCTCGTCCAGCAAGGGCAGATGTTTTTCTGCAGGGCTTGGAGGGGTGAACGACCTTCGCTTTCCATCCAATGGCAGTGGGTGGGCAGAGGTGTGCAGCCACTGACTCATCGAGAGGAGGCAGTTTTTCGTAGCCTCTTTCCTCAGCGCCATCCACTGAGGACAGCACAGAAGAAGAGGATGTGCGAAGGCGAGCCGAGTAGGGAGTGCGCCACGACTTCGTGAGCTTGTCGTGGACTTCTGGGAAAAACGGGGAGGCTCGCTGACGAGGGGCCTGATGGCTCTGAAAAGAAAGCGATCAGAGCGCGCAGAGAGGCGAGACTCATTTTCACGCAGTGTGAACACTCCATCTCGGTCAAAGCAGCTTCTGCGTGGTGCTTGCCCAAACAGGAAACGCACTCTGAGTGGCCATCGTCAGCGTGCAGTGCAATCCTGCATGAGCCGCAATGAATTTGAAACAACGCCGCTGCTCTTTTAGTAAACGAAAATTAGCTTTTTTAGGCTCGCCAGATGGCGGCAGGGGACGAGCTGGTGTCTGCGCCGAACGCTGAAGGCGGCTCGTAGAGTGGGCCGGAGCAGCAGAGAGGCGCAGAGGAAAAGGCAGCTTCTGTCCACAGCGAGGCGTGTCAACGGGGAGCGCTTCAAGTCCCGTACATCAGCGAAGGGAAGATCGTCGTCGCTGAAGGAGAATTGATCTGAGATCCTGAGGCGAAATGCCCGCTTATATATCCAGATGACCCCGCCCATTCTGGTGGGCTCTGGCGGGCTTCGTCGCCATAGGCTCGTGCAGCTCTGCTGCTGAGCCATTGGTTCGCTTTTTATTCACTGCACGAACCAATGGCCATGCAGTTACACTGCGTGATTGTAAAGGCTTCATTTCTCGGAGAAAAAGGAGTTTTTCCCGATAGCGTCTAGCGACGCAGTACAAATGAATTATCGAAAGGGAAACAATTTTATTTACCTAGTAAAAAAGAATTTTTGGGCTGGTAGGAAGGATTAGCTACCCCTTAATGTACAGATAATTAAGGGTGTAAATAGGTGTCAAATTACTAAAGTCTAAGTCAACAAAACCACTATAAAATCACCAGAAGTTTTATAAAACACTGATGGCCTGCTCTTTCTTTGTTTGCAGTTATGTGTATATGCCATCATGTCTTCATAAGTGATGATCACCTCAGAAACAAGCCACGAACAAGCCGAAATGAGAAGGCAAATCACATTTTTTATTTTATTTTTTTCTTAAATGTTAATTCATGTCCCAGTCACATTTTCTTGGTTAAACATTACTTAGACTACCAGAGTAAAAATCTATTTTGTATTTTTGCATTACCAATGTAATTAATAGGCTATTCTATTTATTAAAACCAAGTATAAATCTCATCAGTTTTTTTAAGCATTTTACATTTATTCCAAAATAATAACTCGAGCCAGTAACAATTTAAACAATATATTTTATATAAACAATCATATATTTTATTAATGAACTGATGTTCAGCTGTTCTTTTTCATAATAAACTTATATTCGGATCATCAGAGCTCAGTAAACACTGGTCTCAGATGCGGGGATGTACCTTTAATTTCAACAAGCTGATTGCATGCTAAAAAACCCACAGATCATGTTTTCAGGCCATCTGAAGTTTGATTTAGATGTGACAAAGTTGTGATTTATACTTATTATTTAATTAGACTTCCCATTAATGCCATCACTTTGTTCATTCAGACTAATTTACGAACGCAAAACGTGCACGAACACAAGAGGTGGGATTTAACGAAAGAACCAATCATAGCAGATCATAACCAGTATTAAACAGTCATATCGCTCTCATGTGACTTTCCCCCATTCATTCTCAATTACCCCCCACCAAACTCACGGCACGCTTCAGGGGGTCTGTTAAAACTCAATGGGCTCAGGGGAGGAGAGAGATGCTGGTGTCACTGATGGACTGTTTTAGTTCTGTAACAGTTAATACATGATTTGGGAAGAAATTACAGACTTTCCAAATCATGTAGGTTATGTTTGTGTTTAATTCAGATACTTTAGGGCCATAAAGTTATAAATTACCTTCAGGAGGAGATTAAATCTCTATTTGAGCATGTCCTTGAAGGTAGGGTGTTGGGTTAGTCATTAAAATTAGCTTGCGTTCACACGGTCAGCCATTTGCAAAGATTGAACTAAACTCACATATTCACTCTTATTGCTGAGAGGAGACTGTGCTGTTCCATTTGCAGTAATCTCAGGATCTGGCTGTTCATGGGAGGCCTTTTCATTCTTCACTGCTGTACATTTTTCTCCAGGCAGGGCAACCTCTCCTACTCCTAAGGATTCCTCTTTAAGGGATTTCACAAACTGAGCCATAGCTTTCAACTCCACCTCAGACAGGCTGTGGCAGTATGCAGGGTCGTGATCGTAGGAAGGTAGCTGTCTTATCAGTTGCTTGTGGCGATACAACGATCCTGCTGTGCCAGCCACAGGTCGCCTGTCTTCAGGGAGAAGCTCCATGTACTGCATCGCCTGACAGACAGACAGACAGAATTATGCCTGGTCTCAGCGTTTATACATAGTGCATAACATTTACAAATATGCTGGGACATAGAATTTGGACATCTAAAACATAAATATTGTTACATATTTACAGCTAAAAAAGTACAAATCTTTTAAATCATAAGGATACTTGTATAGTATCACTTTTATCAATAAATGAATTACATTTTTAGATCCATTAACCTACACACCAAAACCTAAACATACCCATTTTATAGAGAATATAAAAATAACATATAAAACGTAATAGACAGAAATGTGCATGAAAATTACCATTTTAGTAATTAATAGCATTTAAAAGATATTTTGTGCCACTAATCCCACAGGTTAAACCTAACCATAATCATTTTTTAAAAATATGCACAGTATAAAGAGTATAAATGACAGACAGACAAGTGCAATCACAATAATAGAACCACACTTTATGTAAAAAAAAAAAAAAAAAAAAAACACTTTTAAAAAAAAGTATGAATTACATTTTTAGATCCATTAACCTACACACCAAAACCTAAACATACCCATTTTATAGAGAATATAAAAATAACATATAAAACGTAATAGACAGAAATGTGCATGAAAATTACTATTTTAGTAATTAATAGCATTTAAAAGATATTTTGTGCCACTAATCCCACAGGTTAAACCTAACCATAATCATTTTTTAAAAATATGCACAGTATAAAGAGTATAAATGACAGACAGACAAGTGCAATCACAATAATAGAACCACACTTTATGTAAAAAAAAAAAAAAAAAAACACTTTTGAAAAAACAGTGAAATAATCGTATGGTTTACTTATCTTATATTATATTCTTATATTCTTATCTTTAGAGAGAATTACCAAAAGAAATGTGATTGATTGATATCTTGAGTGCCAAGACTGTTCAGTTAATTTTACAGGGCACCTTATGTCAAGATAATTTATTTATCCATATAATAAAATACTGTATGTTCATGAAAATTCCAACAGATTTGAACAAACAGTGTGGATTATGTGCGACTGTAGCTTAGTTTCTCGATATAAAGTAAATGCAGAAAAAGCTGGCCTATTCCGTTAAATTATCACGGCTGTACTTGGCCAAATATACAGGGCTCTCAGAAAAAATAAAAACAGACTTGGCAAGATGGGAAGTACTACCTCTCTCTATGTTTGGTAGGGTAGAAACAATCAAAATGAATGCGTTACCCAGACTTCTTTTCCTATTTCAGTCTCGCAGCGTGGGCAGCTGGAAGAGCAGCTGGAATTCACTGAACAGCATTTAGTAAATTAATATTTATTTGGCATAATAAAAGACCAAAAATATGACAAAAAGCACTTATGTCAAATAAAAGCAGTGGTAGTTAGAGGCTCTCTAATTTATGGTACCATTTTTGGGCTGCTCAGGGCTACAGTTGCTTGAAATAGTAATCATAAGGAGGTAGAATAAGTTACTACTGAACAAAATTCTAATTATATTTGATAGTTTTGCCATTTATGGACTTGCATGCACAGAAAAAGTTAAGAAAGTAAATATATTCTCAATATTTGGTCCACAATGCAAAAAAGATGAGAGTGCACTACCCATTATGAGTAATCCAGTTTTCCTTCTTTCGATATAGAGGTTGTAGTAGATAGGAAGATCTATAAATATATCTAAAGATAATTGATCAGCTCTTCAATGGGGAGATTATATGGTCTTTCTCTGAATTATGTGATAGATTAACACTGAGGTCTAATTATTTATTAAAGTATTTACAATTACAACACTACATCACAAATCACAGACGTTGAGCCATTAAAGAATTCCAACAAATACTGAACAATCTCTTACACTCTTAAAACGGATGTTAAAAACAACACAACCTGTGTTATAGTCAAGTCAAGTTAAGGACACATTTTGTGTTAATTTCAACTCAACCAGTGTGATATTCTTTTTAACACAGGTTGATATTCTTCAAATATTTAACACACTAATGTGTCATAAATCACACAATTTAGCACATCTATGACACAAATGATTTCTGACACATTAGTGTGTTAAAAAAACAGATGTGTTAAAAACAACACAACCTGTGTTATATGTAGGATTTCTGTCTTCAAAAACAGAAACCATTTAATCTGTGAGCAGACACAAACGAACATTGAATCTCTGCATTCCACCGGAAAAACTAAAGGTTCTCCTCCCCAGCCATCTGCGGTCGTAAAACTACATACAGGGTCAGCTCAGTGTCTCAGCAGTTCCTGTCCCCTTCGGCTTATCTTCTCAAGAGACTCAAAGAAAAGCACTAAGACCGCAATAACTGACCCCTGCATCTGGACTCATTTAAGCAACAGAATGTCAGGGTTGTCTCGTGACTGGCTTCAGCATAAATAAACTATCTAATAACCAACAGAACAAAGAACCTGGCATCTGGAAATGTTCCAGCGACAGACACTCCTGGACCCCATGGGGGTAATATTTAACGCATAAATTGATAGTCCAATAAACAGAAAGCGACAGATTAATAGCTCCATGTCCGAGCGAGAAGAATGGCAGATCTCCACCCGTGACAGTGTCATGACCTCAGGACATCTCCCCTCTTTCTCCCTGCATTCCAAAAGGGACGCATGCTTTTCCTACTTTCCAGAAAAGAGCGCGGTTCTCCTGTCACAGACAAAGAAACAGAACTTACACAGACAATTCAAAAGACAATAATTTATGCATATAACAGGGCGACCATATTCAAAAATAATATGTTGTATGTCTTATATATATGCTTGAGGTGTCAAAATGTAACCTTGCAACTTTAATCAATGTTTTGTTAACCCCTTTTAGCAGATAAAGCTATTAATATGAGAAGTTTAGTGTTGAATGAAAGCGTGTGATAATTGCCGAACAGGGGTTCTGAATGAAAAAGTGGGAAGTATGTACAATACTTGCATTAAGAAACTTTATAGAAGTATCAACCAAATCTTCGCAAAGATATTTCTCCACATGATAAATTGAAGCCTCATGTTAATGTATGCACGCTCCGCCTTGGAAGATCGCGCCGTGGGACGGACTTATGCCGCGGATCAAAGACCCAATGCAAGACAGACTCAGGGCGCTCGCTTGCTTCTTCGCCTTTCGCCGTGTTAATAGCACTCCAACCTGTGCTCACACGCTTACCATCAAAGCGATCGGTCATCCAAAACTCAAACACTTCAGTTGAAACTCTCAGTCACACACCTGACTGAAAGGCTCATTATGCAGCTCATTACGCGGGCCTTTGTCTTCTCAGGTGTGAATCACAGCATTATCCACGACCATTCACGCCCCCTCGCATATTCTTTTTCTACACAAAATGTGTCTTAGAACATTTTAATCAATATATTGTTTTCTGTGAATGAGTGAGTAAGATGATTTTCACATAATTTTGAAGCAAAAACTCTAC